GTTTTAATTAATCCACCGGAGATGTTTCACTGCGGAAAATCGCATTCGCCGGATGCCAATCTACAAAGCCTGAAAACTGGAACAACGGAGCTGCACATTTCTACATACATTGTGACGCGAACATCGCAGACGTGTAAGCCCCGACTATTATTCTCGTTTATTTAGCTTCAAATGCGTTTGGATAATTAAAAAAGTTCGATAGGCGAGACGTGCATTCATCGTCGGCTCAAACGTGCTTTTAATTTGTTTGCTATTCACGAAAATTGAAATTCGATGACGAAAACAGACACAGAAAATGATTTCATTGAAACGCACTTCATTATTCACCGCATTTTTCACGTCTGCTTTCGGGGGAATTTAAACTTCGGTAGACGGTGCTTGATTTTTTTAATCCAGAATGCGGTGAAGTGCGGGTGTAAAGAAAACCGAGGTAGGTCGTGCGTAAATCTCCGCGATGAGCTCCGTGAAGCAACTGCAATAAACCACACCGTTCAGGGGAACATTAAGGGTGAGCTTCGGTGGTGCATATACCCTCACATTTCCTCCTTTATTTGCAGCTCGTTCCTCGAATATGCATTTAATTTACCAACCGGGTATAATAATTTATACATGTAAAATATTCTTTGTACAATTTATTAAACGATTCATTATTTGTCGTATGATTTATTACGGTTTTCATTATTGGATTGAAGTCTGTGTAAATGGCGCGAGATGAAAGGTAAGGGAAGATTAAAGAGCTCGAATAGTTTGTTCAGGGTTGATGAAATTATTTTAATGCGTTCTGGCTGAACGCGATTGCTTCACGGGGTAGAAATAAATCCGGGAATCGCGGGGCGTATTTAACGCGATGCAATCGTAATAAACAGCCGTCTTTCTGGCGAAATTAAAACCGAGCGGTGCACATAAAGCAAAGTCTTTTCATAAACGCTCATATCTGGCGCACGTGAAAAATTTGTTTCCACATTTTTCCTCCTCGCACGTTCTCAAATTTTCACCGATACGTTTTTAAAAAACCGGCACAGCGGCAGTTTAAGCGTTTCGCTCGAGTTGGCTGCGGAAGGAACAGACGACGGGATTTATTAAAAATTGTCCAACGTTTTAGAAAACAAAAACAGATGAATGCACGTTTCATGGATTTATTGTAAAAAAAAAGGGGGTATAAGGGGATATGAAAAGCTGAGAGTAATCATTCGTAGATGAGAAATTTATGATCTAATGCCACACAGGAGATACTTTTAAAGAGTGGCAGCGCTCGTGTGATCGTTGGTACAACGAATAGAGCCCAATAGAGCTCGAAAGACAGTTGATAACATTTGTATTTGACAGCTAGAGATACAAATTTAAATATAAGAGATTTTTCGCTAGAACGAAGAAGTTTTTGCAATAAACAATTCTATTTATTACTTAATTATTGACGCTAGCGAAAAAATTTTTATACAGAACTTGTAGACACTGACGACATTTAAGAGAAAATTCTATGAATTTCTCTTCTGATTTCAATATTTAACGAGTTCCATATGATTAATTGGCATTTTATAGGTCTTGAGAAAATTCGCCCATTTTCACCGTCAAATCAGCGAACTCTTGACAAGAAATTTCGTTTTTCGCCAATAACTTCCAAACGGACGGACGTAGGGGGACGTATTTAGGCTCATTTTGTAGAGTACGACGAGATCTACAATCTCCATATAACAGTTTCTCGCTAGCTTGAATAGTTTACGAGTAATTTGCAAAAAACTGTTTTTCGTTTTTTGCAAATAACTCGTTAACTATTGGCACTAGCGAATTCTTTTTGCACAGAAATTGTAGATCTCGTCGTCCCCTACAAAATGAGTCTAAATACGCCCCCCTACGTCCATCCGTTCGGGAGTTATTGAGGAAAAACGAAAAGTCTTTTTAAAAGTTCGCTATTTC